GATTTCCTTTTTCCTGGCTCCTTTTATGAACCCAAGATGACATTAGTTACAGTTCAAAAATTATAAACAAAACCAAACCTGTGACTTCTTTGGAAGACACATGGGATTAGAGGGGTTTCATACATAATACAAAATCCTCTTTTGGTGATCTATCTTAGAGCCTTAACAGCAAGCTAATATTTGTTTCTTTGTTATGAGTAAGATTTGTACAGGTTGCTTCTTGGCAGTGTTAGTGCTGGCTAATCTATCAGCTAGGGTAGCTGATGCTCATGTCCTGTATCTACAAAAAAAACCCAAAACAAAGTCAAGCAGAGGCACAGCCAGCCCCAGAACATGTGTGATCCAGGGACTGTTCCACTTTCTAACACTTTTATCCTTCCTCTTCTACCAGTCATATTTTGTTGGTGTTTTTCCTTTGGTTTTCTAAACATTTATGCTCCTATTGTCCAAGGAGGAAGCTCCTGCTATGTAATTCTGCAGCCTGCTTCATGTCCCTCAGCCACATGACCATTGCTCCCATTTCTGAGACAAATAAAACATTACTGTTCCTTCTTTCTTGCAGCTCCAAAGCTCCTCTCTTTTGATGCTGTGGTTTGGATTAGTGTTTCAAGGGGCAGTGCTGTTGCTATCTCCTTTCAGTCCCACAAAGGCAGTGCTCAGCTCCCTCCCTCCCTGCCAACAGGGAACTCTCTCAGAGAGAAATACCAATATTTGTCTAGCTTGCCTTCTTCTAAAATTGTACCAAATTGGCTTTTCAGAGGAGTTGGGATGATGGATGCTTTGCAGTGCTGTGTCACCTGGGAGATTGGAACACTGGGCCACCTCACCTGTGAGAGCAAAGCTTCACACGAGCCAGCAGAGGTGCAGGTGCCAAATTCATCATCCTGTGGCTGCTGAGGGCTAGAGAAGGTCCTGTCACTTCTAACCTGAGGCAGGGAGTGGCTGAGTCACATCTCTGCCCTCACTGGGCAAGGTGGCATCAGAACTGGGACTGCAATCTGCATTCTGGGGAGCTCAGTTGTGCTATGTCATTACTGAGTTATGCTCTGCTCATAAAGGCTCTTTAGTTTTATAGTAAAGGAAGAAAAGAGGACACAAGTTATTTAGTAGGCTTTTCAAATTCTTCTTGAGTCTGAGCAGGGGTAGCTTTCTGAAATGGTCTTGGAGCAGCTGCACTGTTTAATCTCAGCAGTACATTTCCTTCAGTTTTAGGCTCTGAAATCATTAATTTAAGTGCAGAGGATCATAAAATCTATTCTCTGATCAACATTCTGTGTCTTATGTTAATTTCAGAAGCTTTTAGAGAATTTTATTTTTTATGGATCTTTCCACCTTAGCTGAAGAACTGTAAGGAATTTATTCAAACAGCTTGTAGTTGTATATATGTATATATCAATGTATAGGTGTATATACATGCATGTGTGTGCAATACTTTGGCACATTATTTCTCCCCTAACATGGTTCAACAAGCAGCATTTATTACAATAAAAAAAGTGTCTGTAGTCCCACAGGCATCTTTAGAGTGAGAAAAGGTGTGAGGCTCCCAAACCCAGCCAAATGGAACGTGTGAGTTGCTGATATATTGTCTGCTCTGTGAAGAGCTAAATATTTTTAAAATAGTAATTAAAAATAAAAATAAGAAGTTGGTTGTTCCAGAATTTTCCAAAGTATGGAAAATGGACTTCTTTTGCTGGCATTAGTACAGGTATTTCAATGAAATTTGTGGAGTGGAAAGGCAGGAACCGTGGCTGTGCAGCACGAAGCCAGACAGGGCTGGCAGCAGCGTTTGTCCCTGGGGGCCAGTGACAGTGTTTCCTGTTAAATTGCTGGGCAGGGGATCAGCCTCAGGCTTTCCACTTCACCTGCTCTGTCCACCTGTTTCTAAAGGTACCTGGAGCTGGAATGAGCAGCTGGGTTCCTCCACATCCCCTTCTACCACCCCAGCTAAAAGAGGTTTTAGTCATGAGCCCGTGTGTGTTTATAGAGGGAGATGAACTGAGAGGGCAGGGCAGCCTCAAAGGCAGGATGAGGAGAAGTTTGGCCCTTTGTTGTGGGAGGGGAAAAGAACTTGCCCACAGCTGTGCAAAGCCCTTGCTTGAGACAGGGAGTGGGCAAGACTAATTATTGGGTTGAGCTTCCATAAGAGAAATCCTTCTTTCCATCCTCAGAGATGTTCATTTGACACCAGCCACGTCCCTCTCAGGCACAGCATTCCCTACTCCCATCCTCAGTTCAGGGCAGGTCCTTCCCCCCCATTTTCATCTTTCTTCCATCTCTACACAGGTTTTTCCTCATCCTTTCAGACATGGGGCATTGCTCCATGGGGCAGAGCTGTCTGTGTGGGCTTGCTGCCATGCTGGTAGAGCCATGTGGCAGCACAAAGGGGCAGGGCAGCTGGGAAGACCACGTGGATTTCCCATCATGGCATCATTTTGCGTTTCTTTTGGGTTTTGTCTGAGAGATTTTGCCATAGCTGGTCCTAATCTCCAAGTGTGTGCATGGAGATGGATCGTGGCTGTGATTTGTGATTCAGTACGCATTCAGTTCTCAGCTGTAGTGGAAGCAGAAGATGTCAGTCCCTTCCAGGCCATCAGGGAGCTCCTTCCCATGCCCAAGCCCCTGGCTGGACTCCTGCTTGCAAGCACTTACGATCTGTAGAGCTGGGAACATAGTATTGTGTGCTGTTGTTTCCTTTTCTGAGCTCAAGGGAAGGGAAATCCTTGTGTGCTGCTGTGTCTCCATCTGGGACAACGACAGACAAATCCTCTGCTGTGGGTGTGCTCAAAAGCTTCGCTGCTGGATCAGATAGCTGCAGAATGACACTTCTTCTTTTTTTAGGTATTCCTTGTGCTAAGCACTGGGGGATACTGCAGGCATTGGGAAAGCATTGTCTGAGGGGAAGCCAGCAATATTTTAAAGCACAAACATGTGCCTGCCACTGTCAGATGGAGTTTCTCATCTGAAATATCACCTTAATGTAAACATGCAGTTGAACTGGCAATTGCTTTTTTTTTTTTTTTTTAATATGCAGGCTTCTAGTGAGTTGTTAATTACCTGGAGCTGAATGGAGGATGTTCAAATGGGCAGCTGTCAAATGATGGAATTAATTTTTTTTGTAATCCTGCTCATTTTATATTGCTGTATAAATATGAAAATGTCATACATGCATTCAGCTGGACAGAGGAACAGGGCAGTTACAATTTGGAGCTGAAAAGAAAAGCAGTGACCTGTCTGACTGCTGTGCTGGACATCATTTAAGATATGGCAGGAATGCCTACAACGTTTTAATTTGTATTTATCTTGGATTTTATTTCTTCAGTGTGAACTTTTATAACTTTGCAGTTTAACCTTGTAGGGACTTGGTCTCCTTTTGCTGTCATCTAGTTTTCATGTACTCATCTCCCACTCAGCTTGCCACGCAGCACTTGTGTAGTGATTACCTAATGCTGCAGTTTCCCTCCTACTTAGGTGGAGATCCCTACCATTCCCGCAATACTGCTGTCCTTATTCCACACTGGGGCTAAAAGCCCCGAGGATGAGAGATGGTGAGCCTGTGTACTGACTCCAAAATCCTGCTTTCTTGTCCTAAATCAGGCTGTACCGTAGCTGGAAGTGCCTTTGTTTGGATATGCTTAATTGCAGCCTGCGTTTCGCAGGGATATGTGCGATTCTGACAGAATGACTAAAAGCCTCTAGCGTTAGTCAGCCTGATCTGTGAATCACTTACCACACCAATATTCAGCCTACTTATTCCCCAGCAACAGAAAAGGGAATCCCAAAGAAGGCTCAGTTTGACATACACATCAGTCTCAGGTGGGCTCCTCTTGATTTTCCCCATCTCTCTCCGCAGCATTGCGCGCAGCAGCGTTTCCTCTCCAGAGGCAGAAAAGGACTGGGTGCAGCTCATCCTTGGCACTGGACAATATTTCCCCTGAGGGATAGGGAATGCCTCTCCCCTCCTGCTTTGCACAAGCCTGTTTGGGGGGTCAGTCCCTGCCAAGGCAAGGGCAGAGAATTTCAGATTCTAGCTAAAATTTCCTGGCACTCGTACTTTTGGAGTGACTGCAGGCCATGCGAGGCTGAGGAGCAAAGCCCTGTGGGCAGCAAGCTGAGAGCAGGAGAACCCTGGTGGCAATCAGTTGTTGGAGTTTGAGGCACAGAGTGTGTGCCCTTATCTCTGATACCTGGCTCTGGGATGCAGGAGAACACTGAATTTCATATAACATGAAATTTATGGGCATGTTTTCATGGTGTTACATGAAAACAACTGTTAAATTTAGATAGAAAAGCTAAAAGAGTGAGTGTAAATTAGAGAGTTTTCTTAAATCACTGGGTGAAAAAGTTAGTTTAGAGTTTAAACTAGCTTAGAAAATGAAAGACAAGATGGAGGATTTAGGGTGTTGTCTCTTTTCCTTCTTCTTTCTTCTTCATTTTCTTCTTCCAGAGGTTTTTGGGTAGCAGTAGGTGATTGGATAGAGAATGTCACAGTGCAGCTCACAGGTGTTGGGACATTGGGTCACTAAGAAAAATAATTTATGTGTCTATTGTTAATTGGGTAAAAATGAGTATAAAGATAAAAGAACTGTGTATTTTGGGGCCATTTTGTGCCTTTTGAGTCAAAGTGAACCAAAGCTATGGTGAGTTGAACTTGAGCAGAAAGGTCTGGGGAAGACCTGCCAAGTCTTTTGATTACATATGAATAAACATGAGAAACAAGAAGCTAACGAGCCTTTGGAGAATCCTTTCTGAAACAGAACTGAGATTAGAAAAACTCCCTTTTGAGGGAGTATCCCAGGGAACACAGCCCTGAAGGAGACAAAAACCACCAGCAACAAAGAGTAGTGGTCAAAAATTCTCATCAAACAACAAGTGGTGCCTCGTGTGAGGATCAAATCCAGATTATGAGCTGGAGGGGTGGATTCGGACCAAAGCAAGCATCCTGACCTGTGAATTGTCTCTCACACTAACCAGTGTCTCTCTTGTTCTCTTGTCTTCCCCAGGAACGAGTGGAATATCTCTTTCTCATAATTTTTACAGTGGAAGCATTTTTAAAAGTAATAGCATACGGACTTCTCTTTCACCCCAACGCTTACCTCCGCAATGGCTGGAATTTACTAGATTTTATAATTGTGGTAGTAGGGTGAGTACCAACAGTTTGTTTTCCAAGGCTCTGTCCACGGGGGGATACTGGCAGCCTTTGGGAGCATGAGGTGGGGAAAATGCTTTATTACATCTGGGTGACATCAGACCTTGCTGTCCATCCTGTTCCTCTGACAAACACCGTTTGAATGGCTTGCAAGACAGGGAAATTAAACTGCCCTGTGGGAACCAGGGGTAAAAAGAGAAAGCAGTCCAAAGCTGTTGGATAAAGTCAACTTCCCAAATGTGCTTAACTGTAAGAAAATCCATTTGTATCCAATCTGTATGAATATTAAGAAATAATATCTAGGTAATCCCTTAATTAAGATTAAAAGTTTGATGACAGATAAATTCTGCCATCTTGTGAACTTTTGCTGATGTTTCTCATTCTGAAAGATGGAAGAAAAATTTAAATCCCGGGTTTTCCTACTTACAAACAAAAATAAGTTCCCCAGTTCAATTGCACTGCTCAGCCGGTGATTTCAACACTTTTAATTTTGACCCTTTTAATCTTTTAACCTTTTTAACGACTAGTTTTACTATTGTAGATCAAATTGCCACTTTGAGCTGCAACCTTTCTAATTCTCTTATTCCTCTCCGTGTTTTTCAAGTTTGGCATTTAATTTATTTGAATAAAAGCAAAATAATACACCTTCTGCTTTTTCTACCTAAGGATAAGCAAGGGATTGGAATTGTGGTTGTTGAAGGGAAGAGGTGAAGAATAAACTACTTCTGAATACAAAGGGAACAAGTATTTCTTTGCCTGAATAATTTGTCCCATCCTCCCACCACTCCATTGTTAGAGAGTTTCATCGCCCACAAAAACTTGTAGTCTTTTCACCTCCTTGCCAAGGAAACCCTGCATCAGTTCCTAGGGAAAGCATCAAGAGGGACACTCCTAGTCATCAAAACCCCCTCACAACTTCTGCCCCAAACCAATCCACCTTCCTGAGCATTTTTGTGGTGGCCCCAAAATATTTAATCAGCAAACTGCCGTGTGCTTCCCAATGCCTCCCACCTCCCATCACCATGGATAAGAGTGGGTGGAAGGAGAATTCCCAGTGGGGGGGAGGGAGAACAGGATGAAACCTGTTCTTAGTCTCAAGACCTCTCTGCCTCCATGTGGGCATAAATCTTCTTACCCATTGTGCTTCTCCTTTTTTCCTGCCCTCTGGCAGAGGGTCCCATAGCATATCAGTACCTGAACACTGGAAAATCCCCCTGCCCTGGTTCTGATGTCCAATTCCATCATTGGTTCTGCCTTTGAAGGCAGATTCCTCACCTGTGTAGAAGTTGCTGCCTAAGTTGAAGAAAGATTGAAGAACAAAACTCCTGTGAATGTGATTATTGCCTTTTCATTTTTATGAGAAGGAGGCATTTTAAAGAGAGGAAACATCACCTCCTCTTTTTCTATTGGATGTGAGACAGCAGGACTCCAGAAATAACAGAGCAGCATTATATCTAGTTTAAGTACAATCCTTTTCAATTTTCCTACTAGGGCAGTTAATCAGCAAGATGATATTCAGGCTGAAATTAATTCCCTTGCCAGTGACAGAAGCTGCAGCTCTCAGCTCTTCTATCTGCTTTTGCCTCCAGCAGCTCTTAGTCACTAGATGGGGAACAAAAAAAAATGGAACTGGGGAAGGATTACATGAGTATAATAAACATGGCCAAGACCCCAAGGTCTCTGTTAAATAGTAACAATCTCAAGTGACAGATTCCACTTCAAGGCCAGATGGGTTCCTTTGATGTTTATCTGTTTAAACTCACTCGCACAGAACCACAGCCTGGGCTGGTGTGCTGCTTTTCCTCACCACAGCCCCTCTGCAAAATCTTCCTGGTGGCATCCGTTCCTCCTCTGCCCTGTCTTCTTTTCCTAGGGGCTGTCTGAAATCCCTCAGTGACACTCTGTTTAAACTTTGGCGTATTTGAATATTTTGCCAGGAAGGAAGCCCCATGGAAAAGGTTTAAAATAAATTTTGAAGAGAGAGAGGAAGGAGGAAGAAAGCAAGTGCCGATAAAAACATGTCCTTGTGGCTCCTTTTTCTGCCTATCAATGGGGTTATTGGAGAAAGCTGAGTGATTTGAACATGGCTGGGGAAGAGGGCAGAAAAATTTTTTTGGTGTGTGGGGCAAAAAAACTGTGGTAATTGTTATTTGTGCTTGCTATGCCTTACCAACCATCTTCATTTTCAGTGATGACTGCCCTTGCTACAAGACACAGGCTGGGTGGGAAGCACTTTTTCCAAAAAAAAAACTGGTTTTAGATCTTTCAAATCCACCTGTACTCACTTCACCACATCTAACTTCAATAGATAATAGCACATCTGGCTTCCTTTGCCTTAAAATGAAGTAGTCAGTAGAGTAAGAGGAAAATGGACATCTGGAGGTATAAATTTTAGAGGGGAGTCACATTTCCTGTAAAAAAATGGGTTTTTACTGCATACTTTCCCCTGCCCTCTGAAGATAGGTCCCCTGGTATCCACAGGGATTTTAGAGGCAGTGATTCTAACAAGGAATTGGCAACAGCAGCAGAGGGAGGCACTGAACACAACTCAGTTTTTCTGGTGAAAAATGCATTTTAGACCAGAGTTGTAGCAGCTTATCATTCTTGCAGTGTGGGAGACCTGCTTATTCATCACCTATGTCTTTTAGAGCTTGAATTTGGTTTCTCCTTAAACAGCCTCTGACCTTGCTACAGCTGCTTTGAAGAACGTCTGTGTGAGGGTATCAGTCAGAAAACTGATATCAAAACATTAATATCAAAACCGTTATTAATTAATAGTAGAGACCAGAGCCCTAAGCTGCTCAATGAGACCCCACCCACAAACACTAATGATTAGGCAAATTGTCTCCCACTTCCCTCATTTTTGCTGTTCCTCTTTAGGAAAACACTGAAACTTTCAGATTCCACAGCGAAGTCCCTTAATATTAGGAAATTTCTCCTGAGGGGAGACCAGCTTGACAATGTTGTGATGGAAGAAAATATCTGTCTTTCCTGGCAGGGCTGTGGCTTGCCAAGCACAGCCATTCTCCAAGGACCTGTAACTAATGCCAGAAAAAAAAGTGTTGTAATTTGAAAGGCAGTATTACAGTCTTACTTGGGAAGGTCAGCAGTGAAGATATTTGGATGGGATCTGAAGTCAGAGCAGGCTGGAAAATGTGGTCACAGTTTATGTCTTTCTGAAGACCTGTGGGGAGATTCTGGAGAGCAGATCCAAACATTTTCACACTCACAAATCACAGGTGAACTGTAAAACACTGTGAAAAAAACCTTTGTGTTTTACTCTTTTTTTTTATACCTAAGAGTATTTTTTAAGTCATGTTTTTCTGCTGATTTTTTTGCCTTAGAAATACCAAGCCCTCTGTTTTCTTCCTATATTTTGGAGGCCCTTGACAAGTTCCTCTTTCATGCTGTAAAAATCATGGTGTACTCCCCACAGAGGAAGAGATGAAAAGCAGGTTACAGCCTTATCATGCTGCTGTTGGGGTCATCTAGCAAAGTGAAAACCCTTTTGATATATCAAATGTCAAAAGGGAAATAGAAAAATACAAGGAAAAAAAAAAAAAAACAATGGAGCTGGGTTCTTACTTCACAGGTAAATGTACAAAACCCCAAACAAAGCATGGAGCATGTCCATACATACCTGTGATAAAAATTTGGTTTTCTGCTCTTATAGCTCATGTCTGTCAGATGAATTTAGTTAAGGTGTAGTCATGTCACAAGTGAAATTGAGAAATCAAAGTGATGTTAGCTGTGCTTCATCAGTGGGAAGTATGACATCCAAATGAAAATGGGGCAGGAATTTAGGCTGGCAGAAAGTAGTTAGGTGGAAGGAAATAAGGTTGATGCCTGGTTTTTGAAGGAGGGAGGGTTTAATGGTGAGATTTTCAGTGGCCACAAGAGATTAGCCCTTTTGCCTTTTTTGTACCACCCAAACTCTGATTTCTCTGTGTCTCTCACCCTGTGCTAGGAGCATGCTAACTCACTAGTGATAAAGAACTGCACCTTGCTCCTACTGAAAACTTTCCCAAAAGGTTTTCATCAAAGAGCAGAATTTCCCCTATAAATATAAGAGAGAAGGGCTCTAGCCTCATCTTTTGTATCAGTAGTTTAGCATCCATCCAGCTGTTTTAGTCTCTGGAAACAATTAGCTGGAAAAACTAAGAGTATTAATTAAGTAGCTGTACATCATGGCTGTCTGCTCATGAGGGAGGTGGTGAGGAAAAGAAGAAGAATTGAGAAGATGCACTATAAATTTGAAAAGTGGAGTAGAGATCCAGCAGGCCACACTGGGCACAGTCTAGACCCCAGTACAAAAGGGGAAGAGAGTGAAATAAATGAGAGAAATAAGAAGTTGTAATGCATTAATAAAAAGCAGGATTACTACAGGGGAGATACTAAGCATAGAGTAAATGCATTAAAGCAGGATTAGCAGGAGTAATGCAATTCAAGTTTAAATGTAGGTTTTTAAATGAGGAGCAGCAGGAATTATTGCAAATTATTCCTGAAGTGCTGAAGCAGATGACTGTGGGTACCTCAAAAGAGCACATTTAGCACACCAGTGCTGGAGCACAAAAATAAGACAACCTAGGCTGCAGTGGAGCTGCACTAGTCTGGGAAGGCAGGACCTGTCTCCAGAGGAGTGAGCTGCCCTCCTGGTTGTGTTTCTGCTCCTTCTGAACTAATTTAGGACATTGCTTGGGCAGCAGAATTCTAGAGCAGACTGGTCTGCTCACTGTACAAGAGGCAGCAGAAACAGCCTTGGTGCCCAGTGCTGCTCTGTGGGAAAACATGGGGCCAGTGAAAATGGGGAGCAGGGAAATGGAGCCTCAGTTTTGCACAATTTCTGATCAGAGTTCCTTGAGATTCCTGGTCTTTGAGCAGAAAGACAGTATTAGAGGCCTTTTAGCAGTAAATTATTTTTCCTTTAAGAGGATCCCAGGGGACAGGGACTGTTGTGTTCACCTGTTATGGGAATTCTGTGGACAAGAAAGACAGAAATGTTTTAATGTGAAACAGAGCACATTGCTAGAGCTTAATCAGAAGCTTACTGAAAATACATTAGGCCAAATTTGACCTACAGCGTTTCTATTATGAAGACCAGCAGATAATTGCAACTGTATAATTTGTGTACACAGCTCAAGAAAAACATACATTCCAATAATTCACCTTCTCTCCATCAACCCTCCTTTGTCTCTCTCTGTGATATCTGTAGTCAATGCAGTATTTCTCATAAGCTCTTTTTTTGTCTTCTCTGCATCCTGCTTCTGCAACACCTACAAACTCAGCATCCAACCTCCTCACACACAGTTTTTCCCCATGCTCGTTACCTAGTTGTTAAATCTTTCTGCGGTGCTTGAAGTTCAGGCTTTGAATAGATCCAGTTAGGAGTTCCTCAGTCACAGCTCACAAGTTTTATAAGACTCTCAATATGAATTTTTTAAAAAATTAAACACAAAAACCTGCTTAAGAAAGGAATTTCACATTTGCGGTCCCCGAATCCACGTTTGTTTGTGGATTTAGGGCTGGGGGAATTGGCTGATTTTGATGTTTCAGTAAATGAATCTTCATTTTAATATCCAGGGCAAGCTCGCAGTGTTTTTGCCCCTGTCAGTAAGATTTGGCTGCAGGCTGCAGGCGTTGGAGCTCCTTGCTAAGCCATCAGCCAGCTCAGCCTCTGTTGACCCATGGTCTGGGGGCTCTCTGTGGAATATTCCAGATGGGATCTGGGTGAGATCCCAACAGGGGCACCACAGACTGCAGAACCTGCGAGAGAAACCACTGCTGTATGCAGGCCTCTCCACCTGGACCGCTTCTCTCACACCAGGAAGTTTCTTTCAAGCTGTCTTTGGTACCTCTGTGGCACCCTACGGGCCAAGGGGGCTCTGCCACTCCCAGGCAAGCCTTATTTACAGACAGCCAAACATCCATTTAGGCTGGAACAGCTTTTAACCTCTACTGAATCTGGCTGGGTTCAAGATGAGGGTTTCAAGGCTGAAAGCAATATCATTAGCAAATTCATGAGGAACCTGTCCTCCCCCAAGTGTACTAATGTTTTACCAGAAAAATGGAAGCTGCTTCCTGAAAGCTAATTTATTAAATCAAGTTCTTATTAACAGATAGGGTGAGCCTTCAGGTTTTTCACAGAAGAACATTGCCTTTTCTTTCTTGTTCTGCCTTTCTAAATGCATTCTGAGTGAGACATCTTCTCCTTCAAATGTCTACTCCTACTAGACAAGATAAAACATTAAGGCTGGTATAATTAAACATTGTAATAATAAGACTCCTACAGTTTTGCCCTCTCATTAGCCAGTGCATCAGGGGATTTACAAACCAATCCACAATCACAGTGTGAGCATGCACTCCTTTATCTAAAAGCTTGCCCCTTGAAAGCTCCTCCAGTTTACACCAAGTTCTACCTGCAGTGCCATTGGTGAACTCCTTGTAAAACGGGTGACAGATAATTAATGATCGCCTTAATTAAGGGTGATGATTTTCTCCCCCAAGGTGGAGGGTTGGTTAATAAAGACAGCAAAGCGTCGGTGGCCCGTGGCTGGCTGCAGGGAGCCATGGGGGAGCGTGAAGGAGGAGCTTTTTCTCACGTTTTGTGAGAAACAAGCGCTTTGCAAACGGTGTAGACATCACCAATGGGCTGTTGCATATGGGGAGAGTCTGTCTCTCCTCCAGCACATGTGAACTGAGAGAGAGAGAGAGAGAGAGGTGTGACACCCTTCACAGGTCTGTGAGATAGCTTGGGTGATATGACGGTGATGATCCCTGTTCCTGTTTAGCCCAAGCCTTGCTGTCTGCCCACAGATTGTTTCCTCTTTCTTTTTGCAGGCTTTTTAGTGCAATTTTAGAACAAGCAACCAAAGCAGATGGGGGGAATTCGATAGGAGGAAAAGGTGCCGGATTTGATGTTAAAGCACTGCGGGCTTTCCGAGTATTACGTCCACTACGGCTGGTGTCTGGAGTTCCCAGTAAGTAATGCCACTGCTTTCCTTTCAGCTGTGTCTGTGGTGTGGCATGGGGCAGGGGGGAATTTTTGCAACAATTTTGAAGACAGAGCATGATACAGCTTATTTTTTTGGGGTGTGTGGGAAGACTCATTTCAAATGTATGCGTTTGTGATAAAGGTGATATTAATCAGTGGATGACCAAAGCAGAGCTGAAAAGGAATGGAAGTCTCATGGTATGTCTGTCTGATTGGGAAACCTCTTTTAAATAATGAAAGGGGAAGATCCAGGATTTTTTGTGATTGCAAGCATAAAGTCCTTTAAATGATTGTGAAATCCTAGTGAAGTTTTGGTATTGTAAATTCTTGACTTTGATGGGCATCCTGTATGGTCATGTGTGTTGATCTTGGAGGGACAGGAACTTCTTCATTAAAATTGCATTTTGTTTGCATGTGATGTTCAGATCAAGAGAACTGGGAACAATTCAGAAGCAACAGAATACAGGGCAATGACACACTCACATTCTCTGTTAGTCTGATTTGCCTAAATTATTAGTAATGCCTCTGAGAAAGTCTTCGAGCAGCCTTTGATAATCTTTCATGCATTTTCTTGTTTATGATGAAGCTATGAGTAACTAAGTCTGGTAGTTCCATTGTGGAGGTGGAATATAGAGGTGACAAAGTGGGAAAATTATATCATTTGGCTTGAGAGTTTGTTATGGATGGAACCTCTTTACCTTCTGGAAAGAGAGAGGTGGTTGAAAACTGTCACTGGTTCACACATTTATAGCAAGGAGAGAAGTAGTGAGCAGAAAAGGAGTTAATCTTCTCCAGAATAGCTGTAGGGAACACTTTGTTTATTTTTATTTGAGGATCTGGCTAGACTGGTATCTTAAAGTACTTCTAGCCTTAGTGATGCAAAAGCCTTGAGCTGCCATAAACTCTGTGACATCAGTTGTTCTGACACAGGCTGAGCTTAGCTGTGTGCTTGAACACAGCTCACATCCATACACAAACATGATCTCAGTCCCAGCATAAACTATCTAACAGCCCATTTGTGAGTTTTCTCATCAAGGAATACTTCATTTGTACCAGAACTGAGCCAGGGAGCATGGTGCAGACTAACAAAAACTGGGTCTAAACAAAATCATAGTGCAGTGGCATGCAAGCAAACATCAACTTCACCTGACAGACACCCTCTGTCAGCCTTTCTGGTTCTGGCTAGGTTATATTTGTTAAACCAGGCTTCTTGGGGGCCAGTGTGGCTTTAAAAAGCCTACTGAGATCTGTAGCTAATGCAGCCTCAATCTTGACTGGGCACTTTTTAATTGTACAAATGCCTGTTGATTAGCCTAGAATAGATGTTACCACATCCATATGTATTAGAGCTTAACTTTTCTCATGAGGCCTTTTAGACAAGATTGCCTAAGCCAACCATAAATAGCACGTTACAGGATTACATTCTTACATAAGTTTAGTGCAGAGGTTTAGAAGTCAAGTCTCAGGTCCCATTCAAGTTCTGTCCCTGAGGCACCATAAACACCAGTGGGTGAGCTACCAACATTGCACTCTCAGTGCTTTGCCATCTATAAAGAAATTACTTTTGCTTTCTTGCCCTTCCAAAATGCAGAAGGCTTTTCCCCTGGAAGGAAAAAAAACCTGCAGAGAATTGTCCTAAAATTACATGAATGTAACAAATGCTGCAATTCCTCCTCATTTAACAGGCTCTATGGGAGCAGCATCTCTTTAGGAAGAGGGGATCCTCTGGGTCACTGGCAGCCACCTTCTGCATGGAAATTCCAACATCTGCTGCTTGGCTTGAGGTCCACATCTAACCACCACTATCTGGGGGAAAAAAAAGTGTATAAAGCACAATGATTCCTGCAAAACAAATTTGTGAAGCACATGGTGAATTTTTTTCATGCCAATCTTAAACTCATTAGGATTGGTCTTGGGAAATAGTTTGTCTGAGGTGGAGAGATTGGCTTGCAGCATGGAATATTTTTTTCTGAGTCACAGGGAGTTTATGTGGTTTTTTTTCTCTCTGGCTCAATCCATAGGAAATAATCCAGTTTAAGAGGGACATGTTTTGTATTCAGGTTCATGCATTTAAAGACCTGTCTCAGCATATAGAGAGCTTTCACATAAGTTTGATCTGAGCTGGGGGAAAGACCTATTAATTTCCCTCTGAAGTAAATCACTGGTGTCTGCATTTTGCAGATTGAGAGCTGGAAACAAAAGTTCAAGATTTAACACTTCCAGAAGTGGCTTCTAATTATTTATGTCTCCTGTTGACTACCAGTGCTAGACATTTAGGTCAGCATGATAATCCAGCAGCTTCAGATAGATGGAGAGAGGATGTTAAGAGCTCAAAACCCCTTTTTTCCAAGTCTCATGCATGCTTAATTCCTGGGACTTGGTCTCTTGATAGTAAATGTCTCAACCAAGGAATGGGGGACTGTCCAGTGCAATGAGTGGCCCATGTGAAAGCAGAGCTGGTTCACCCACGGGCAGACAAGCAAAAAGGTACCTTTGACAATCTTTGTTAGGATCAAACTGTCCAAGGCCCCAAATTACGTTAGTGCCTCCTAAAATCAAAAGGCTTTGAGATCATGAATTCAACAAAGCCTGAAGACCACATCTGGATGACGGTTGTGGGCACATCAATATTTTATAATCTTTAAGAGAACAGATGACACTTTTATGCTTTGTGGTTATATGGACATTCACAAGACCACTTGTCATAAGGAAGAAAATAGACATTTTGTTCAAAAGATAAGAGACATTTTTTTATCCATGTCACAAAAAGCAACTGTGCCATCATGGGAGAAGCCTTGAAAGGCATTGAATTCAAAGTTTTTGGGTTCCCAGTACAAATTTAAAAAATAGTGTTAAGTATTTACACATTCCCAAGAAATTCTGTAGGGATAAATTTGATTTGAGGGTTTTTTTGTAAATTAGATTTTTTTTTTTAACTAGTTTGTGTTCTTTTCTAGAAAATCTTTTTTTTTTTTGAGTGAGAGGTTGTCCTGGGGTGACTTTTGGAGTCAACCCATTTGGAGGTTCTCTCCCAGATTTGCCCTAAACCAGGACAGAGGTACAATTCTTATGGTGACTGTGTGAGGTGTCTGGCAGAACAGTAGATTTGATACTTCCCACAGCTGTCCTCCCAGTGCTGGCAGTTGCTTTGTGTACAAAATAGAGTTTCTCAGCTAATTAAGCAAACTTTTTTTTCTCCACCACTTTTTTTTAAGTCCTAATACCTCTAGAAAAATGGTGCACACTCAGTCCTTCTAGCCTGGCATTAATGTGTAAATGAATGGTGATTATTTTGCAAAGCTCATGGATGATCTAGGTTTCATTGTTGTAAAGCCACTTTTGAAAATGAGATCTAAGCACTTGATATCATCCATACTCAGGCCAGATTTCACAGTTCTACTGTTCTGTAGCTGTCATATTAACACAGTTCTTGCCCTGCACACTTTATTTTGAGTGAAAGAACTTCACTGCTGGAGTACCAAAGCAGTCTCCTTGTGAGGAAAACTTCACACGTGTCTGAGAGCACCTGTCTGAATGTGTGGCATTAAGATCAATATAATGGTTTGAGAAAGGAGAGAGAAGGAAAACAATTCCCACGATGGACATAAGTAGACAAGTGCAAAATCAGCATGTCTACCAAAACTTAATCACTTTAGTGTCTTGGAAACTTACCCAGTGTCTCCTTTGTCAGGAGCTTAAAGCATTGTAAAGCTTTCTAGGGACAGAATCAAGTCAGCCCTTTTGTGCTAAGGGTTTTCTGTTGATTACTCTTCTCTCCTGGCTTTATGTTATTACATCTTTTAAAACTTGTTTTAAACATTTTGTGCTTCAGGAGGGCAAAAAGAAGCATCTGATTGGGCAATGAAGAAACATGATCCAATTAAAACAGAAAATCACTCCTGACTATTGGAAAGGGCAATGAGTTACTCCTACGCATGCTAGCTCATGCCCTTTTAACTTATTAAATTCCATTTCTATCACCTTTATTATATATTTATATATTCCTGCTGCTCAATTATACCACCTCATACATTCTGCTCATTCTCTTTATGTTGTACTTCGTCTTAATGTAACTGCATTTTTGCCAGTGGTTATCGTCTATCTGATATTTGCCAGGCTTAATTGATAAGCTCTTCTAGACAATTTGGAAGTCTCATATAATTTGAGTAGCTGTTGTGCTCCACATTTGTGTTTTGAACGAGATCCTCTGCTGACAACACAGATTTATGTGGGCAGAAGGCCCTGCTACTCTTAATGAAGCTAGAGAGGAAACTTGACTGCTCCCCTGGAACAAAAATGTCTCTTTAACATTGCCATAATGTCTCTTTAATTTATTTTTTTATTATTTTAAATTTTCAAACCACAGAAAGCTAAGCCTGTGATGTGTTCAAGCTTCACTGGAGTCTTACAGCAGGAGAGTTTCTCAAAGGCAGTGTAGGAACCTCTCTAGCACCAGCACTTACATGGGCTGCTGGAAATGCAGCAATTGTGTAACAGGGAAAGAGAAGGCAAGACCAGGACCCAAGCAAACCCTCTCCATGACAATGCAATGTCCTGGCAGAGAGAATTGTTGAGTCAAAATTAAATAAGAGCAAAGCTTTCATGTGAGAATGCCTAGAGGTGACTACCTTTACATGTATTTAAATAATTTACTAGAACATATACATTTTCAAAATGATGTTTACGTTTAAGTCCATGATTACTCTGAGTTTATGAGAAAATTGGGCACCTTCAGACAAGGTGGATGAAAAATTTAGACATTTTTAGGTTTTGGTCTGTCTCGTTGCAATTAGTAACCTGCCCTGAAATGCTCTATTAAAATGTATAATGCTTTCTCAGTCTCAGCAGTGTTCTCTACCCCATATTTATTGCAGTGTTTTCTGATTGCCACACTCATCTTGTATCCTTATCCCAAACTCTCTGGCATTAATCAGAATATTTCTTTGGTAGGAAAGTATCCTTCCTTTCCTTGCAATGTCCTGATGG